GAAGCTGTTTAGAGCAGCACCTTTTCGTTTACCTCTTAAACCCTTGATCCATGACTGCCTTTTTGCTCAGCTGAAGAGGTCCTTAGAACAAAGCTGTGGTTTGTTTCTTGATGTTTTCACTGTGTCCTCTGTGTGTGCGTCTCCTGCTGGTACTCGTGGGAAGGGTTAGGTGGAAAAGAAGCAGACCCTGTTCTCACATTTGCTTTTGTGTTCCCAAGGAGCCACCTTCCTCGTCACGTTTGGAAACTCAGAGAAACCCGAAACTATGATTTGTCGTCTTTCCAATAACCAGAGGTAAGAGCCAGATCCTGCTTGGCACGGGGCAGCATTGTCACAGACCGGGAGCCTCGGTGGCACTGAGCCTGAGAGTGACCCGATTTGGACACTTTTATTTGATGTAGATACTTGTTTCTGGATGGAGACAGCCACTATGAAATCGAAATTGTGCACATTTCCACCGTGCAGCTCCTCACAGAAGGCTTCCCTCCTGGAGGTAAATGCCAGCACGTCCTTTCCTAAGCCAGGAGGGTTTGGCGCCATGCATGGGTGACAAGAGGAGCGTCCACTTTTGGGATCAGGCAGCCACCCTGAGGAACGGGGTCTGCTGGGTCTCCAGGACAGCCTGCCTTTCCTCTTTGGGGGGCGTGTATTTACTCAGTGGCTTTAGAACTCGCCAGGTGAGTGGAGACTTAAACCGTAAGACAACAAAGGGAAATTTGCCTCAGCATGTCGTAATGATTTCCTCTGCTCTAAATGCTGTAATGTATCATTCCGTTTATTATTGGACTCAAACCAAGGATAAAGCCCCAAATGCAATAACAGATCCCCAGAAAGGTCTGAGTGGTGGCTCATCGGGAGCCAGCACTTCAGCCCTCCTCCTGCAGGCGTCTGTGCAGACCAAACCCCTGGTGCTTTTCCTGGTGAGCTTTGGCCCAGCCTGGGCCTCTCCACTAAACTCCGCTGACGGGGAGCTCGCATCCTGTTATCTGCAAACTGTGCTGACAGATGCGCGTGCCGTAACCCATGTTGCTTTCTTTCCGTTCTCTCACCGGCTCTTGGGTGCTCCTTCTCGCCACTGCCTGCCCACCTTCTTGCCATAGAAAAAGACATTCACGCTTACACCAGCCTCCTGGGGAGCCAGCCTGCCTCTGAAGGTCAGCCTCTTCCTCCTCGCCGGGGCTCCCTGCATGCGGCGGGCCGGTTCCTCCCCTCGCCACCAGGCTTCTGTCCACGGGGTGGTCCGTGCCAGGGTTCTTTGTGAAACCTGAATTCACTTCTTTTGGTTGACTTGAGAGAGATGTTGGGTCTGGTACGTGGGTTTCTAAAGCATAAATGAAGATACCGCAGCAGATGTACTTTCTCAGTTCTGTCTCGGGGGGAGGGTTACCCAGCAGTTGACAGCTCTCTGTCAGTACCTGCCAGCCCTGAACTGGCTGAGGCCAGGGGGCATGGGTGCTCACAGGGGCTCACCTGCCCTCGGGAGCCTCTCCCAACTTTGCCCTTCCCACTGAGGCCTGGCACTCCCCAGCTCAATGTGGCCTCCTGGGACCCCTGACTCTCCTGGCACTTCTGTCAGCCTCCTGAATGATGAGGTGAGATGCCCAGGCCAGTGTTTTGCCACCTCTGTCCTGAGCTCAGGGACGTGTTTGGAGCCGGGATGGTGTCAAGCTGGTTGCCTTGAGCAGGCTGCGTGGTATAGACGCCCAGGTGCGAAGGGTAGGGTCTGGAGAAGCGGGGGTCACCCCAAGCACCCCTCTCTGCCTGCCTCCTCCTGGGGAGCCTGAGGCTCAGATGAAGGCCAGTGCTTAGGGGCATCCAGTGCTCCTGAGGCCGGGGCAATGGAGCCTCCGGGACTGCTCTCCTGGGCTGACCCTCCCCAGGGCTTCTGGCACTGTGTCCCCTTGTGATGGCTTGGGGGGTGCAGTGAGCCCCACTCTGCGCAGTCTCAGTAGAGCCCTTCAGACCCCAGCACCGTCTTCCAGTGGGGGCGGGGACAGTAGTAACAGTCCCCTGACCTGAAGGCAGCCAGGGGGCCGCCTGCCAGCCTGGGCCCTGTAGGGCAGGCCACACACTTACTCTTTCATGGCCAGATAGTAAACCTTTGCCAGCCACATGTGCCGTGGTAAGGTGGAGGCAGCTGCAGAAGACAGGGTGACAGACGGCCATGGCTATGGTCCAGTGGTGCTTTATCAAGCAAACGCAGGCGGTGGACAGAGCCAGGTCATTCTGCTCTAGAGCCCAGGCAGGACGTTACACTGATAGGGAAGGTTCCCCAGTGTAGGGGCTGGGTGGGTGTGCCCTAACCATAGAACCGGGCTTATGAAAATGTGGTTCCAGAGGCCCGGTATGGTGGGGGCCTGTAACCCCAGCACTTTGGGAGGCTGAGGCGGGTGGATCACCTGAGGTCAGGAGTTCGAGACCATCCTGGCCAACATGGTGAAACCCTGTCTCTACTAAAAATATAAAAATTAGCCAGGCATGGTGGCAGGTGCCTGTAGTCTCAGCTACTTGGGAGGCTGAGGCAGGAGAATCGCTTGAACCCAGGAGGCAGAGATTGCAGTGAGCCGAGATACTGCACTCCAGCCTGGGTGACAGAGACTCCAAAAAAAAAAAAAGAAAAAGCCAGGCACGGTGGTTCACACCTATAATCCTAGCACTTTGGGAGGCCGAGTTGGGCACCTGAGATTGGGAGTTCGAGACCAGCCTGACCAACATGGAGAAACCCTGTCTCTCCTAAAACTACAAAAAAGAGAAAAAAAAAAAAAAAAAAGCTGGGCATGGTGGCACATGCCTGTAGTCCCAGCTACTCAGGAGGCTGAGGCAGGAGAATCCCTTGAACCCGGGAGGCGGAGGGTGCGGTGAGCCAAGATCGGGCCACTGCACTCCAGCCTGGGCAACAAGAACAAAAACTGTGTCGCGGGGGCGGGGGTGGGGGGAGGGGAAGAAAGGAAAAGTGTGGTTCCGGGGCCTCCGGCGCTTGCAGCTGCAGCCTTGACGCCCACTCCACCAACTGGCAGAAGAGCCGGCCCTGGGTGCTGATGGGGGGATGTGTGTCTGATGGAGGGGTCTCCTGAGAGGTCAGCGATTGCTCACGATGGGGCTTCCCTCCCGTCATTAAGTTCATGGGAGGCTGCATCCCATGGGTCTCTTTCAACTCCAGCCCTGCCTGAAGAGTCGCTCTCTTGAGCGGTTCATTGTTGGAGCAAGTGCTGGAATTGAGTCATTGTCACTGGATCAGCTGGTCACTGCTGCCCAAAGACGGGGAGCCTGGGTCCCCTAGGTCTGGGGAGATGGCCCGTGACCAGGCTGGGGTGGCATTTCCCTGGCACTGGGCCTTTGTACTGACAGTCCCCTCTGTGCTGCTCCTCAGAGGCTGAGGCCTCCGACTCCTGGGTGTGAGGCCAGCTGTGGCCCTGACCATCTGCTTGGCCTGTCGGTGGCCAGGGCACTCTTGAGGTGGCCTCCCCTTTTCCCCCACCCCTGGGTGCAGGTGGGCATCTCTGCAGGAGCCAGTCTGGTCTGGGGGTTCTCTGAAGGCAGGAACCCCCACAGGCCCCAGGGCACAGCAGCGCCTCAATTAGCGGAGAACGAGGCCTCTTGTGGTGATGCGGCTCTGGTGGTTTGTCCCCAGCCCTGGGGCACCCGGCTGAGTGTCTTCGTCCCTCTCCCACCTACCCTGTGAGCTTGGGGTCTCCCTTCAGAGGCCTGAGATGGTGTTTCCTGGGTGCTCCCGAGCACCAGTCCTCACCGCCAGGCTACTCTTGGGAGCAGCACAAGGTTAGGAAGGTGTCCTGGCCACCACCACCTTGGGGCTGGTGACTACCTGGGCACTCAGGGTCTCCTTGGGGCCGTCTTACCTCGTCTCCCTCCTCCAGGAGGCAACGCACGGGCCACAGGCATGTTCCTGCAGTATACAGTGCCGGGGACGGAGGGTGTGACCCAGCTGAAGCTGACAGCGGTGGAGGACGCGAATGTGGGCAGGAGGCAGGCGGTGGCGTGGCTAGTGGCCATGCACAAGGTACCTGAGCCCAGGCCAGGGAGGCTGGGCCCTTTGGCTTAGAGCAAAAGCTTGCCTTTCCCAGAGGAAGCTGTGTCCTGCCATTTGACCCCCATTCCCACAATCTGTTCCCCCTCGGCTGGGGTGCCCATGCCATCTCCCCTCAAATGCACTCAGGCTTGGCTCCACCAGGCACAGGACCAAGCAGGTCTCACTGTGTTGATCTTATCTGATCTGCAGGCTGCAAAGCTCCTCTACGAATCTCGGGACCAGTAACTCTACGTGGGTCTGAGCTTGGAGTACGTGTGGTCACCAGGACTGAGTCGCTTGGAACAGCAGAGCCTGCTCCTTGCGCACCACAGGGATTAATCCTGCTTGTGCTGGGAAATGCAACTCATGTATTTGGAGAAACAGAAGTGTTCACTTATCTAGTGCAATATGTTCACAGTTTATTAATGCTTTAAACAGCTTCATGTTTTAGAATTTGTATATTGTCAATACTTAATTGGGGGTTGGAGAGACTGAGCTACACTACTGCTAAACTATTTTTAGCATAATATATACTGTTTTTATGAGTTCCCAGGTTTACTAGAAGGTTCTGGCCCATCGATATTCATTTCATTTAACTCTTCCACAGAACCAGTTTGGGTAGTAGGAACTCAGGCTTCTGATCTGCAGTAGAGCCTGCTCGCCTCTAATAGCCAGTTTACAGCACTTGCCTTAGCCTGTTTTACAGACTGTCCACTTACCTTATCACTAATTTTGGACTTTTGGGCTGTGAGTGATCCTTTGATACTTCACTAAGGGGAACGTGGGGGCTTTGTGTTTTGTACTTTTCACTCACTATTTCACTTTATTAAGATGACTGTACAGCAATTTGTATATAAAGCTTATGATTAAAACCTATTTTGAACATACGGACAAGGCCTCGCCTTCCTGTGTCCAGATCACCTGAACCCTCGTGCCGCAGCGCAGTCTGGCTCCACAAACAAGACTCACAGCCGCCGGGGTGAGACGGGTTTATTGTGCACATTTACACAGCGTCAGCAGCGTCGGGTGGCAGTGGCCACGCTCCTGTGGCCGGGCTGCTCTACAATGGCATTCAGTTTTCTTCACCACACTATGTACAGTCAATGCTCCAGGGTGATGGGCTACAGTGCTGCATCAGTGACTCTATACACACATTTATACATAAATTACACACAAGACTCATACATGAAAAATAGAGCCTAAGGGCCTGTATTTTAATGAGGAAAAAAATTTCCAACATAGTTCGGGTAGCTTTGAATGGTCTAGTCAAAAAATACTTTTGGTATATAAAAAGCCTGTACGTACAATTCACACCGCAGTGAAGCATCCTCCTCGCCTCGAGGCTGGGCCTGGGACAAAGGTGGCGTCCTCACAGCCAGCCCAGGCAGGGAGATCAGCAGAGGGGGGTGGCCCCTGACCCCATCTCCTCTGCCCCAGCTGCTGCCCCTTGGTGGCGGCCCCTCCTGATGCCAGGCACCTGCCATCCTTCAGACACCAAACAGCCCCATCTACCTGGCCCTGGTCTGCCCTCACGCCAGTCCACCCCCAGCCCCAACCCTGACTACCCTCCGCTGCCACGGCCTCCAGCACCTGACTCCATTCAGAGAACTGAATTTGAGCTTGCAGGGCTGAGAACCACACTGAGCAGCATGAGAGGCTGTAAAATCACAGGAGAAGAGTATACGCTGAGGCTCTTCCGATTGTCACTTGGTCTTAGGGGTCCTGGTGCCCGTGGCGTGGCAGTCCAGCCACAGTGCTGGGCCTGCACAATCAGCCTTTAGGTGAACTGGAACAGGAAGCAGAACCCCCAAGGCGGCCAGGCAGAGTGGCTGCTGGGAGGCATACACGTTGGGCAGCAACACTGGACACGTTTCCATACAGAGGCTCCTTTGGTGATGAAGGGAGGAAGAAGGATCGTGTGTGGGGAGTGTGAGAAAGGATGAGTGTCCGATTCGGTGACAGGAGGCAGGGCTGTCGCAGGGGAGCAGGCCTCACAGCCACGGACAGTGTTCACTGCTGGAGGGGGTGATGGCCTTGGGGCCAACTCAGTAAGAGCTGTCTTCACTGGCAACCAACCAGGGGTTATGGGACCTTCTTAACGGCAAGAGGGGTGGGTGTTTTGAAAGCGGGTATTTATTTGGATTTATAGTAATTGGCAAAATTCAGTCCTTGGAGGCGAAAGTACCTCTCCCAGTTATGGGCAAACTGGAGAAAGGGCCTCACCTGGAAACTGTAGGATTCACATTGTGGACGCTGTCTGCTGAAGTGAGCACCATTAAGACCATTTTCTAGCTTCAGCTTTCCTGGGAAAACGGCACAATAATCTCTTCAGTGGCTCCTGGTAGCTGGCAAGACCATGCGGTGCTCCAAAAGGAAGTTCAGGCGAGCGTTCGCTGTCGGGGTTTGATCCGTGGATACAGCTGGGAAGCAACGGAGCCGCGTCAGGACAGGAAGCCACACATACGGAGCAGGGCCAGCCAGACCCGACCCCTGCTCCTCACCTCAGCCACCCTGGACAGCCGTGCAGCACCCTTCTCCCTCAGGCCCACGCTCAGCTGCACCTCTATGCTGAGACCCACCCAGCCCCCTTTCAGATGTGCCTCGTACCCCCAGAATATCCTATTGCTCTCACAGCACTTCATGCCACCTAAAGACTTGTGACTGCCTGTGGCTCTCAAGGTCATCAGCTCCCCTGGGCAAGGGTCTCTGCCTGGCTCCCTGCTGTGTTTGCCTGGCCAGGAACCTTGGCTCAACAGGGAGCCCCTGGCAGCTCCGCAGGGCACATGGAGAGAGCAGAGGCCGCTCCCTCTGCCAGAGGACTGATGGAATCACAAGTCCAACACAGAGCTAGCAGCCTGCACGTTCCCACCTCTCTCCTCCGATGGAGAAATTTCTAGGCTGCAGAGATTTCTAGATTGGGGAAAGTGTGGGTGGGGTGAGCTGGGCTGCTTGTTGAAGTTCATCATGAACCGAGCTCATTGAGCTGCCCCTCACTGGGGCACTCGGCCTCCACAGCGTGAGCATGGCCAGGGGAACCTCCTGGGGCCCTGCCTGAGCCTCATGCCAGCACTGCCAAGTAGGCACCTCCCCCTATACAGAGGGGGCTGCTGAGGCTCAGAAAAAGCACAAGCCTCCCTCCCCAGCCCCACAGCATGACAGGACCGCATGCTGTACAGAGACAAGGACAGCAGGTTTCCCAGTACGTAACCTGAGTGCTCACCCCCAGCAGGTTTTTGGGCACATAGCCCTCCCGGTCTCCAAGGCGAGCCCACCACCACTCAGTCTCGCTTTCGTCCTTGCGCCTCAGGATGGTGAGGGCGTCCCCTTCGTGGAAGGACAGCTCATCACTGTTCTGGGCCTCGTAGTCCCACAGAGCATACACCACACCTTTGTTCATCACACCCAGCTTTTCCTGCACCCCTGGAACCAGAGAGCAATGGTCAGGCCTCAGCAGAGGGTGGCCTGCAGAGAGGGACCCTGCTCAAGGAATAGGACACGGTCATGCTGCTGCCGAGGCTGCTCTCAGCAGGCCCCACAGAGGCCAGCGTGGGAGATGAGAGACTATTGGAGACTAGGGCTCCACCTGATACCTCCTGACACCTCCCCTGCCCGGCCCAGCTGCTGCTGCTGCTGCTGCTGCTCCTGCTGCCGGCCCTAAGCCCTGCAGGACAGACAGGACAAACGAGCTCTGGAGTCCCAGGGCAAAGGTGTGCTGTTCCTAAGGTGACACTTAGCAATCACAGCGAGAACAGATTTCTAAAGTCACTAACTAGAGCAGCTGTGACTGTGCTTCGATGGCAATGAACAAACTACACACAACTGAGCCCTGACCGAACAGCTACTTGTGGGTCCCTGACACAGGGCCTTCTGCGGGGACACGGCTTCCGAGGCCCAGTTGTGGTGACCGTGGGGAGCTTCCCCTCCCTCTGGTGGTGCCACTGTGACTGCAGCCTCCTCCTCACACTGGCTGGACTCACCTGGGGGCTGCTGTGCCTCCCCAGCCCTACCACACAGCCTGAGAATTTGTTGCTTGGCTCTGTTGCGGGGGCTTGGGCCAAGGAGGGCATCACCTGGCTATTTTCATGGATAATTTCAACCCTAGGGTCCAGTGTAGGGCACACAGTATGTTCTCAAGTAATGTGTGGAATAAGTGACTCGGGACTGTTTAATACTCAGAATAGAGAAGATGTTCCAGCGCTTGGAAAATGTGGCCCTGGCTAAAGCAGCTTAATTAGGACATGAGCCTCATTCATCAGATGTTTCCGGGGAACGGCCAGGGCTCCAGGCCACCCCAGGAATGGAGCTGGCCTTGCTTCCGGAAGCAAGGGTGCAAAACATCTATGCAGAGCACAGCCAAGTCATTCTGTTTTCTTGGGAATCTGGCAGAGAATCTTTCTAACAACATGGACTTTCAAACATGTTTTCAGGAATGAAAACAAGGGGCAGTGTGACCTTCACTCGACTGAGACATCCTGGCTGCCCCTGAAGAAGGTGGAACAGCTCGAGAATGCTGTGCTGCTGGGCATGGTGGCTCACACCTGTGATCCCAGCACTTTAGAAGGCTGAAAGTGGGCAGATCGCTTGAGCCCAGGAGTTCGAGACCACCCTGGGCAACGTGGCGAAAAACTGTCTCTACAAAAAAAAAAAAAAGGACAAAAAGTTAGCTGGTTGTGGTGGGACAAGGCCGTAGTCCCAGCTACTTGGGAGGCTAAGGTGGGAGGATCAATTGAGCCTGGAAGGTCGAGGCTGCAGTGAGCCATGATCGCAACACTGCACTCCAGCCTGGGTGACAGAATGAGACCTTGTCTCCTGTCTTAAAAAAACAAACAGAAAGCTGCGCTGAAGCTTCTCTGGCGCCTGCCGACTATTGCCATGGCAGTTCCATGGCAGACAGCACCACTGCGGCCCCAGGCCTCCCCTGCATACCGTATAGAAACTGGGAGCACTGGATGTAGCCTTCCTCCATCTCCTCACACTTGTCTGCAGCAGTTTCAATGTCGCTTATGGTTGAGGCAAAAATGGCGGCACCACTCTCCACCAGCTGTTTGCAGAGGTGAACGCTGTTACAAGAGGCAGCGCAGTGCAGCGGCGTCCTGGAATAGAGCACAGGTGAAGGTGCAGGCCTGGCACTGCCTGTCCTGTAGGTCACGGCCCTCAGAGATTTCCCTCTAAGGAATCTCATGGAAGGCGCTCGCCTTTGTGCCATCAAGTCTCTGTGTTGTTTCTTTAAAGGCATGATTTCCATGAGTCAATTGTTTCAGACCATACATACATTTTGAAAAGGGGGCACAGGGAATGGGTTAAGAAATGGCCAATCCACAGATATTCACACCACACTGCATGGTGATGTGAATGTACATAATACACTGAAACACACATTTAAAAATAGCTAAGATGTGAAATTTTATGTTATGTGTATTTTACCACGATTCAAAAACAACACAATGACAGCTGTCTAAAAGTTCAAAATAACCCCCACAGGAGACCAGTGTGTCTCGCCCAGCAGCATAGCTCCCGAAGGCAAACGGAAATGAACAATGCAACAACCTACATGCCTGACCCAGGGGGATGCCGAGGCTGCTTTTCACACGGAGCATAGAGTGTGAAGAGTTCATATGGAACACATGAAAAGGGGAAGATGGAATGATTCACAGAATGCTTAGATTGCAATGTTAATGATGGGGCACAGAAGGAGCATAACCACAGCCATGTTTTTAACAAAATCATCAAGAGAAAAGGCTGGAAAGACAGGCAAGGAAACCCTGGCAACAGCTATCTTTTAAGGATGAAATGATGGGTGTTCTTGCTCTAATTCTCTTCCGTGCTTCCTGTTTGTCTAGAACATGCATGTTTTCCTTATGTAAAGTAGGGAAAGTAAATCTCTCCACCCCACACCCCCACAGGGCCTCACCATCCATCACTATCAGCAGCATTCACGTTGACGCCAAAGTCCAACAGGAACTTCACGATGTGATGGTGGCCAGCGCAGACGGCGTTGTGCAGTGGGGTGATCCCTTCATCGTTGGGCTTGCTGGGATCTTCCACCTAGGACACATGGCCTGTGAGTGCCCGCCCCCTCGCCCCCAGCAGCGTGCACTGGTCCCCAGCTGCAGCTCACCTCGTAGATGATCCTCTGCACTAGATCGAACTCTCCTTCCAGAGATGCGTCTAGAAGCAGTGCCAGGGGGTTAAACCGGACTCTCAGCCCATGCCCTGTCCGCTCCGAGTTGGGCTTCTTCAAGTTGGTCCGCTTGCTCTGTTGGGAAGGAAGCAAGCTTTCCAGTTAGAGCTGGTCCACTAAAGTCTAAGAACCCATGCCTGCTGCGAAAGAGTGGTGAGAGCTAAAGCCCAAAGACAGTGGCTCTGTGAAGCATCCCTGGTGTGGCAGCAGTAGCAGCACCCAGGTGACCACCTCAAATAAGGGGCAGGGCCACTCTATGCTCACTATAAGGGAGAACACTGCCCTGGTGCCTGAGTCCCTGGCTCACTCACAGAGGGACACGGTTGTGTTTGAGCTTCTGGCCACTCCTCGGAAGACCCTGTGGGAGGGAGGGTGGCGTGTGACTGCCAAGTAGCTGATGGGAGCCAGCAGCTCGTTCCTGCCCACATGCGATAGGGTTCTTCCTGCTACAGCACCAGATCCTAGTGGAGAAAACCCCACCGAGGGTTCCCTGAGATGGCGCCTGGCTCCCTCTCTGCTCCATCAACACTGACCTCCCACCCAGGGCCTTTGTCTAGATGCTTCTTCCCTCGTCTCTCTACAGGACCTTCAGGTGCCAGCGACAGCTCCCCTTCCTCAGGAAAGCCTCTGGAGCTCCCTGACCAGCTGTCTGGAGCTCCCTGGCCACATGCACAGTGTGGCCAAGCCCCATTTGTCATGCCTTTTCATGCCCCATTGGTCTGTGTGACTGTCCGTCCTCCCCACAAGACCTAACTCAGGGACATCCCTGGTTCTCACTGCTCCCAGCACAGCCTGACCAAGGGAGGACCCCAGAGGTCCTAGTTGCATGAATGACCAGGAAGGCCAGGCTTTGGTCTAGCAATGACACCCACCGTGGAGGTGGCAGGAGGGTGGCTGGCAGGGGGAAGAGGTGCTGGAGGGACCTGCTCTTCCCCTGGAGATGGGGCCTCGACCACAGGACTTGGGATCTGCTCCGTGGAGGGGACCGTGGCCACATTGTTGTTATTGTCCTCCGCCGGCTCGGCAGTTTGGTAGGTGGTTTGCGGACAGATGAGCTCCTCTGGTTCGGGGGAAGGTAACTCATTATCATTGGCATCTGACGACGGGGCAGGCTCGGCGGGGAGTGGGGCTGTAGGCTGGGCAGGGGGGGGCTCTTCCAGGTTTCCATTGGCATTGGTGTTTCCATTGTCCACATCGGCCAAGGTGCCCATGAAGTCCTGGGAGGGGCTGGGCTGGTAGAAAGGGGTGCCCTCCATGCCGCCGGCGAGGGTGTTGAAGCGCTGGTACAGCAGCTTCTGGATGTTGGGCCCGCCGGGGCCCTCGGGCTCTGTGATGGAGCTGCGTTTCTTCAGGGGCCGGGGCGCGTTGGCCAGCTTCCGGCGGAGGGCCTCCAGGTCCGCGTCACTCTGGTAGCGCAGTGGCGAATGCACGATGGGCGTGAGCTTGGTGGGGCTGAGTGGCCGTGGCAGGCTCTCCACGGTGCTGCCATCTGTGGGGGCGGCGGGGCCGTCCTGCTCGGGCTCTTTCTCAGCACTTTCTGAGGGTGGCTGAGGCTGTGGTGTGCCCGTGGACAGCGACCCGTGAAGAAACGGCAGTGGCGATGGAGATGTTGAACCCGAAGGTAAAACAGGCTTACCATACACTGCGAGAGACACAAAGGGCAGAGGCAATTTCGACCTCACTGCAGAGATCTAGTCATACACACCTATGATTACACCAGAGGCAGGCTCCTGCAAAGAGACATATATACATCTGCTGCTGTTCTTCAATTCTCATTTCAAATCTCTGAGGAAACCTCCTCCTCCTAGAGCCTCCACTGACTCCTTCTGAAAGGTGCAGTGCCTCTTATGTGTCGGTTTTTATATTTGGGTTTCCAGAACTGGAGCTTTTTCAGAAGAAAAAATAGGTTGCTAACCCAACTTTCCTGCCGCAGACAAGCCTGCCTGTTTTCTGGCCAAGGAAAAAGACAAAAACCACTAAACATGCATCTGATTCTCGGACTAACTCAGGTGACGGAGAAACACGCGCCTCCTCAGAGCAGGTTTTACCTGGAAGTCCAGGAGCTCTTGAGAATGGTCTAAGCCTTTCCCACCATGGCCATAACCCTCCCCACAAGAGAACACTGCACCACCACCTGGGAGGTCCCTGTGCAGTGAGTGACCAGGCACGTCCAGGAATCCCTCAACTATGAGTCTAGAAGCTGCAGCCAATGCCCAGGAATGTCTAAGGAGGCCCTAACCTAGAACTGACCCGCAGCTTTCTCCCATAAGAGCTGGAAACACCATCGGCCTCTGTGGTAGGTGTGGAACTAAGCTACCTTCTCTCAGCTGCCTTCTTAGAACATCTGAGCTCCATAACCCAAACCAAGGCTTTCCTCTCCTCTGGGCTATGGGAGAGGCTCCTAAGCAGCAGATGCCCTCCTTAAATTGCCCATGCCCAGGGGTTGGGTTCAGCCACTGCCAGGAGGGCCAATGGTCAAGGCCACCCTCTGCTCACTGGACAGCTCCTGGCACAAGTTACCATGAAACAGAAGGAAAAGAGGAAATTCTCAACATCTCACCCTTCCTGGAGCTGGATTTCCTAAGTAGCACAGGGAGGTGGCTGCTCAGACAGGAAGTCAGAGAACTGTGAGCCATCTGCAAAACGGCCTCCTCTATGCATTCCAGCTTCCATTCCCTTCTCACACTGACACCCAAGGCTGTACTTTTACGTAAGAATTAAGTTTAACCCTAAATAGCACATGGCCCAAATATAAAGATATGCATTAGTATTTTCTTAATTAAAAGTATAATTTTCTAGCCCAAGAAAAGGAGAGTATAAACCCACTCTACCTGCTTTAACTGACTTATTTAAGGCGCTGTGTGCTGCCGGCTGGTAATTCTTAGGTGGTGTGGCTTGCTGGAGGTACATGGAGTATATGGAACTTGAATTCACTGTCTGGGGTCCTTTCCTGGGAGACTGTGGCCTTGATCCTTTATCGGCCAGGAAGGGCCTAATGGCCACTGTCAGTGGGAGTTCAGGCTTGCTGTCCCCAGCTGGAAATGCAGGTGGTCCCGCTGGCGGGTACGTGGGACTTGGCGGTACAGAAATCCTCTGCTGAATCTGTTGTGAAGAGCCTGGCTGGGGGGCACTGCCTGTGGGGGGCAGCAGGGTGGGCCTCTGTCGACTTGGCAGGCCTGCATTGGGCCTGGGCAGGCTGCCTTCCTTCCTCCTTTCCAGGGAGCTTGTCGACCCAGGACCCAGAGGCGTGGGACTTGGGTATGTCCCATAGCTTGGAGGCAGCTGTTTGCCTACACCCGGGATGGGAGGTGGCACTTTACCCATCTCGGCGCCCTAAGTTTAGGTGTTAAGAAGAAAAACAAAGTCACCCTTTGAGCAGTTAAGCATATTTCCACCCACATTCCCGAAAGAATACACAGTAGGATTTGTAATCCGTCAAATTGGCTGGGACCAGGGCATGGGGCACACTGTTGAGCTCATTGCCTGTCTGCAAAAGTTCTGACCGAAAGGTGTGTGTACTCGTGGGCTGCTCAGGCTCTTGGCGCCCAGTAACCCTCTCAGGACTTCGGGTGTTGTCTGGACAATAACAGGATTAACTTGCCTCCTGACAAGTCATACCCTTTAGATTAGTACTAAGGCAGAAGAGAGCTCTGTTGAAGAGCTTGCCTACCGGCTTCTCCGCGGCTCCCAGTGCTGAGAAGGGCACAGGCTGGCTGGAGACGGTGCCCTGCTTGACAGACCCCTCCACGCTCGGATCCTTCCAGTCTGCACCAGCCACCTGCACTGGTTTCACTGAAGAGCTAGAATTCTGTTTTAATGTTGGCCAGTTTCCATCATTAGCTTGAAAAGAACACAGAACTTAAGTAAAACTATTCTTGATGTTAGTTGAACCAACCTAAGAATAACACCCTGCCAGAAACAAAAACAGCACTGGGACATCCCATTCTGATGCTGATCCATTAACCAAGTGGTTGACCACCAGCCACATGCACAACTGATCTCCTCCAGCACCCACAGACCCGTGCACAAGACCAAGGGATGGGCTCTGCTGGCAGCTCACTGCCAATGCCCAAATCGCCTCAAGTGTTAGCAGAGACTCACGCCAAACCAAGGTTCCACTGGTGCGGGCCCGGGGCTGCGCCCTATTTCAACACAGGTCAAATCCATTACATTAGCACCACCAAATAAAACAAGCACTGGCCCTTACTTTTGAAACACTGTTTATAAACACAATTACATAGAGCAATAGAAAAGATTGATCTTTTGACTTCATAACAGGTTTGACCTGTAGCACTTTCATTACTGAGATAAAAAGTTCTGCCCTCTAAGGTCACTTATGATCACAGGAGGCCCATGCAAGTCCCCACTGATGTGCGTAGCAGGAGGAGCAGGCTATCGTTCTGTTGCAGTGATTAGAAAGCCAGTCATCAACCCCAAGTTTTTAGGAAAGCCACTGAAATGATACGTTCTTTATGAAGTATTTTCCAAACTGAAAAAGGGTGCAGAAGTGTCCCCTGGTAACACAAGACCCCTCACAGTGGCCTAAAGTCCATTATAACACAGGTTCCTGGGTTTTCTTTCACAGGAACAGGTGCAGAACTGAACTAAAGTGTTCAGCACTTCCAGCGCCACCAGCAATATGGGACAGACAGAAATCAGAGGGACTGTTTTGGGCCCTCCTGGCAGGAACAGCACATCCCCTTCCCTATCCCATCTGCCAGCACAGGCAACTAAGCAGCAGCAGGAAAATGATTGGTCCTCACAACAACGCTTGAGCCAGAACTCTGGACTCATAGAACATGACAAGGAAGCTTCCCAACTGCACACTGAGTGCCTGGGCAACACAGGGGCCCACCAGCCACAGCCTCACATGGCTGACTCCTAAGCCAAACCGACCCGATGCAGCAGCACTGCAACCCCAGCTGCATACACTGCTGGGCTGCTAAAGTGTGACACTGCTAAACATCACTGCTGGCTCCAGGCAGCAGCTTCTGCGACAGCTCTAGTCAAGCCCCGTGGGTCTTGGCGAGGCATTCCAAGGCCCCTGGACCAACTGCCATCTTGCTCCGTGTGGCCTGGAGGATGTGTGGCCAGAAACCTGCAGGCTCCCCAAGAACAGGGCCTGTGCTCTCAGGGTCACAGGGAATGTGGCTGTCCAGCTGCTTCAGAAACCACCCAGCAACAGGAAGTTTTATGGAAATCAGCCATAGTGGGGACCAAAAAGCAATTTTCTCCTTTCTTCAAAACAAGGCAAGAGGTATAGAAGGAAAATCACTTATTTTCACTGTAGAGGAACAATTATCTTTTAGTATGACTGTAAAACTAAAAGCCTCATAATAAACTCAGAAAATTATCTTAATTTTGTAAAAACAAACAAAAAACCCTCCAAAACAAAACCCATGCTATGCCAGCATCTGTCCCTCGGTGTCACACCCTTTCTGAGGATGGGAGGGTACATGTGGCCCCACCCAAACTCCGTACCTGTCTGTTGAAGAAAGGGACAAATTATGTTTGTGTGGCATCTTTTTCAAGTCTAGATGTGATGAGCAGACCTTTGTCAGTTTGGAAAAACAAGTGACAGTTGATTTTGTACATATTAAAGAGGACATAGCTTCCCACTAAGCTTGTCAGCCAACATACGGTTTACAAATGGGCTTGCAGAGGGCCGCGAGGAGCCATAGTTAGGCCCGACGTCGAGGTCTGACACTGTCCATGAGCTGGTCACTCTGGGTTTACTGTGGCCATCTGTGTGACACAGAACCAGGACAGCCAACAGCGAGGGATTAGAGTCCCTGCCAGGAGGTTTCACACCCCAGCTCCACCTCTGGGCTGAGCTTCTGTCCCCACTCTGAAGGCGAGCACAGGTTTCCTGTGTCCATGACTTTAAACCACAGCAGAGACTAGGACCACGGCTTTGTGAAGGCATCTCCTTCCTGCAACCCCTTGAGGCAGCACAGCAGACACCAACAGGGATGGGAAACAGCAGATATTCTCAGCTTGGGGAGTTTTTCAAACGAAGTCAGCAGAGAAGTAGCTGGCTGTGCTAATTACCTCCCACTGGAAACAGACAAATATCTACTCCTACCACAGGGTGGTTAAAACTATAAATAACAGCTTAGCAGAGCAAGCTGTAGTTAGGGGTTCATGCCAACCCCACACTTTATGTGGCTGCTGAGACACGGCCATAAGGGATCTGAGTGGGGGCTTGTGGCTCACAAGGGCTGGTGATGGCCTTCTCTTCTGGAGTTCAGAACAAGCCCCAAGCTCCCCAGTGGGGGCAACAGATGTGTCGCTGTCCCTCCTGGGGGGCAGGCAAGAGAAAAGGAAGCAAACAAAGATAAGCACAAATCCACCACCAATGCTGAAAAGGGGGCTCAAAACACAGGCCTGATGGCCAGAGAGTTAACAGTACTGTTTTCATAAATGAAGGCGTGTTTCAATACATCAGGACAGGGATTCCTGACGCTCTGTGTTAAGGGAAATGTGTCAACCCCAGTCATAAAGTCTTACTGCAAGGAAGTCCCAACACTTTTAATGCATTGGTTGAGAAACAGACTCTCCACGAACAGCTTGCCCTCTGCTTGGCAGGGACGCCACCCGTGGACTACACTGGAGCACGGAGCTGGAGGCCCAAGTCCATCACACAGCACCATTGTGAGGTCAAGACCAAAGCAATGATGTGTGGACTTTGATCAATGAGGACAGAGCTCTGTTTGTAGGGGCAGCCCCTCCACCTGGCTGGCTGCAGCTGAGTTGTGGTGAGGCATCCATGCCGGCCCTCAGTGTCCTCAGGGTAACTAAACCTGCAGTAGGAGAGGACACTTGTGGGTCAGCTTTTTTTTTTTTTGAGATGACGTTTCACTCTTGTTGCCCAGGCTGGAGCACAGTGGCACGATCTTGGCTCACTGCAACCTCCGCCTCCTGGGTTCAAGTGATTCTCCTGCCTCAGCCTCCCGAGTAGCTGGGATTACAGGTGCACGCCACCACACCCAGCTGATTTTTGTATTTTTAGTACAGACGGGGTTTCACCATGTTGGCCAGACTGGTCTTGACCTCCTGACCTCAAGTGATCCACCCGCCTCAGCCTCCCAAAGTGCTGGGATTACAGATGTGAGCCACCACGCCCAGCCCATGGATCAGAGTTTTAATCAATCATTTGTGTTTTGAAAAACCACACAATAGAGACCTCTGGTTCAGTAAAAATAACTTGTTTCTTTTTGGAGTTGTTACCACGGGGGAACACAGCTCCCCACATGCCTCAGGGGGAGACTGAGCCTGGAGTCTGATGATGTGTGGGTCAGAGCCTCAGGAGCCTGCCACGCCCCCTACCTCTCCACCGCAAGCCCCATTCCCTGCTCACAAACTCTCCCCTACAAAGAGGGCCAGGACCACTCACCGGATTTGGATCTTCCATGAGCAGCATTTGAGGCAATACTGAGAGATTGGGGCTTTATGGGGTCCCCCAGGACAGGAAAGCTTCCGGCACTGGGAACCTGGATATAAGGCCCCACAGCAGCGACCCTGCCGGATGTGCTCAGAGGTGACTGTGGTGATGACGTGCCATTCACACGGTTCAGCTACAAATTGGGAAGAAATGAGAGTCAAGATTCCCCTAAATTAAAAGAAATCCTAAGCCTAGTGCAAGAGACTGCCAGCTCGGACAGAAACCAATCACTCAGTGGTTTGTTTTTAGGAAGCGTGTCATCTGGAAAGATCGGCATCTAGAAGGGGAGACTGCGGAGAAGGAACTGTAGCTTCCCATGAGCAATTCTCTGACAACACCCACCCATCCGGAGCCGTACACATGAGCTGACACCAGGGCAGAGCGACTTCCCTGTGATCCACATGTAGCTTCCCTCTTACTCAGGATGCTCTTCCTCCCTTAGGTGGGCACAGAGACATTGGTCAAATCCTAGGCCTGAGCCTGGCTTCAAATTCCCTCTTCTGTCACTTACTCACTGTGCTGCTTTGGGCAGGTGACTTGGCCTCTGTGCCCACACCTGTAAAGTCAGGATAAGGGCTGTAGTCAGTACTGTCCTAGCCACATGGGGCACAGTGAGCAGAGAAGACTCTGACTCCGAGCAATGAGCCCAGTTCCCTGAAGGCAGCGCTGCCCTTCTCAGCCAGGACACAGAGCCACAGACAGAGGACACTGTTCACGTAACACTGCTCAGGAACAACGGGGCCTGGAATAGGGATTCTAGAGAACTACTGACTCCTCGAGATGTCAATATAGGCTCTAAATGGGATGCATAACCCATCTGATTGTCTGTAAGATTCTACATGCGTGAGCAGAGATCATTTCATAGGTCATCTTGGGGTGAGGGGTCGTGGCTTTCACAACTGCTCAAAGGTGCCTAGGACCTCAGGGTGGAGACGCATCTCTGCAAAAATAAAAAATACTGACTGCTTCAAGGCGATCCCTTGAAGTGTAGGTGGAATGAATCTAGCTATTTGTGATGGTTAACTTTATACATCACCTTGGCTAGTAACCTGTTATTTGGCCAAACACCAGACTACATGTTATGGAAAAGGTATTTTCTAGATGAGATTAATTTTTTTTTTTTTAATTTCCATAGGTTATTGGGAAACAGGTGGTGTTTGGTTACATGAGTAAGTTATTTAGTGGTGATTTGTGAGATATGGTGAACTCAAGCACTGGTACACTGCACACAATTTGTAGTCTTTTATCCCTCACCCCCTTTCCACCCTTTCCCCCTGAGTCCCCAAAGTCCACTGTGTCATTCTTATGCCTTTGCATCCTCATAGCTTAGCTCCCACTTATGAGTGAGAACATAACGATGTTTGGTTTTCCATTCCTGAGTTACTTCACTTAGAATAACAGTCTCCAATCTGGATGAGATTAACTTTTAAATTGGTAGATTTGAGTAAAGCTGATGACCCTCTAAAAGGTGGGTGGGCCCCATCCAATCAGTGGAATGCCCTAAGAGAAACAGAGAGATGCCCTGAGAAAGCGCGATCCTGCCTAGAGTCGGCCTTCGGACTCCAGCTGCAACATCTCTCCTGGGCCTCCAGGCTGCTGGCCAGCCTCACAGATTTTGGACTTGCCAATGTCCACCATCATGTGAGTCAATTCCTTAAATCACACACACACACGTCCACAATCACGTGAGCCAATTCCTTAAGATAAATCTCTCTTCCTTTCTCTACACACACACACACACACACACACGTGCACGCGCGCGCTACTGGTTCTCTTTCTCTGGGGAGCCCTGACTGCTACGCCATTACTGAAGAGCATACGTAAGCACAGAGAAAGTGCTTGCAGCCTCTCTCTTACATGGCCTCTTTGTTGTTAATCTTGAGAAAAAGGAAAACCAATATCTGAAATCATAAAGTTGTACAAATTACTGACCTTTAAACTCACTGTTTTTTTAAAAGAAGGGCAGATTTGTAAATAAGAAACTGTGACACCCACAGAATTGGAAGCCCCCTTCTTCGTCTACCACCCTCTAAACCCACTCCCCCTAGGCAAAGTCCCTCAAGCCCATGCTGCCTCCTCAGAGCATCTTTCAGAGAAGCAGAGACTAACAAGAGGACACTCTTCTGTCACCAAACTATACGCAGAAGGGAGATGTGGGAAGGGCGTCCTTGCTGGTGGGTCAGGAGAGTGGGTGTGCCACTCTCCTACCACGAGGGCAGAGTGTACTCAGCTCTGCATTCAGGCACTGCTCCCTTAATAACTGAGTGTCACAGGTGCGAGAAAAGTTAAGTGCCACATCCGGCCAAAGACAAAGAGTGCAGGCGCCCCTCCTCCATGCAGGTGGCTCAGTGATATATGTGCTCACCAATGCACTGTGAGTGGCAGCAAGACTCAGGACTCCCTGCCTGACTACAGAGGGTGGTAAAGGGGTTACAGGCTCTGGTTATAGCTTTCAGATGGTACAACCAGAATGAGGTAATGACCTGGAAAGACACCTTTAAAAAAAGACTAGGTGAGACAGTGAGACTAGTGTAATTCCCGCAATCCCATTTTCAGTTAAAGTTCTGTACCTTTGTGTCTTTTTTTTTTTGAGATGGAGTCTCGCTCTGTTGCCCAGGCTGGAGTGCAGTGGCGCGATCTCGGCTCACTGCAAGCTCCGCCCCCTGGATTCACGCCATTCTCCCGCCTCAGCCTCCCGAGTAGCTGGGACTACAGGTGCCCGCCATCGCGCCCAGCTAATTTTTTTGTATTTTTTTTTTAGTAGAGACAGGGTTTCACTGTGTTAGCCAGGATGGTCTCGATCTCCTGACCTTGTGATCCGCCCGCCTCGGCCTCCCAAAGTGCTGGGATTACAGGCGTGAGCCACTGAGCCCAGCCACCTTTGTGTCTTTATTAAGGAAAAGACTGGAACCATTAGCAATTACCACCTCTAGAGAACAGGTGGAAAGGACTTTCACATTTTCCCTTAAATATTTCTGTATTTATCTTAAGAGATTTATCTTAAGGAATTGACTCATGATTGTGGACGCTGGCAAGTCCAAAATCTTTGATACTGAATTTCAAAGGTTAATAAATACGCATTTTTTTCAATGAGCATTTATTCAATGAGTATTTTATTGTATTATTTTTTCGATGAGTATTTATTCAATGGGTATTTTATTGTATTACTTTTTCAATGAGTATTTACTACCTTTGAAATTCAGTATCAAATAAGGATTTTTTAGAAGTACAACCCCTTATGTAGCATTTTGGTCAAGAGTTTACAAAATCCTTCCACATGGCTTATTTATAAGAATGCTTACAACGACTCATGGGGCAGGTAGGACAAATCACTTTACAGCAAGAACATGAGGCTATGCAAGTCAAGGAATTTGTTCAAACTGGTACAGCTTAAAACGGCAGAGTGCAGACCATGACAGATGCTGCGACTCCAGAGCCAACAACATCCCCCGGTGAAGAGGAGACAGCAGAAACACATGGGGAGGAAGGAAGGCCAGGACACGGAGAGCAAGGGTGCAGGCTGGGGATGGTTTTGCCTCCACACACTAGGAAACAAATGAGTTGTTGGGAGAAGGAACTTTGTTCTGTCATTTTTGATGGTTTATGGCCTATTTATGTTTTATCAGCTACAGCGGATAGGGGGAGCATAATGTTACTTACAGAAGATGAGCAATGCTTGGATAAACTATCTTTAGTAGTTTATCTCACAAAAACTTTTTCACATGCCTGAATTTTTTTCCCATAGAGACGTTCACGCAGTTCACTGATTCGCTTGTCCATCATGGCCACCTCCATGTTGCGCTTATTTAAGAGTTCCTTCTGCTGCTGAAGTTTTGAATTTTGTTCCTGGTTAAGCTGGTTACGAATCTACAAACCACAAAATACAACTTTTATGATTTGCGTTAATTAAAAGTCAAATTCTCATTGCCAGGGAGATTAAAAAAGAAAAAGTAGCATTAAGTTCTGATGTATATTTACATGCATGCACTGCCACCTTGTGTGAAATATTTCACAGGTACAGCAGAGATGAAGCCAGGACAGAGTTCTCATGGAACAAAGAAAGAGCGAACATCTGTGATGCATCTTCTTCAAAGCACACGAAATGACTAGTGCCAATGATGATTACAGGAGACTGAGTGCGGTATAACTAAAGGAAAATCTGCTCCACTCCATGGAGCTGCTTCAGGCCTGAGCCCACCACATGATGCACCTTACTGTGGAGGCAGCAGGAAATTCAAAAAGGACCAAAAACGATGAACTGAATCACCAAGTGAAGCACCTTTACGTCATTTTAATGGCTTGCAACCAGCGTTTTTAAGAAATGAACTAGGATAGAACAGAAAATATCAGAGTGTACTTCCCATAGTAAGAGTTGTCTTAAACTTTCAGATGCCCACAGCACTAGTGCATACACACATCCATGTGTATACTCAACAGGACATAAAATGTACTTTTAAAAACTGGACTGCAGGCCAGGTGCGGTGGCTCACACCTGTAATCCCAGCACTTTGGGAGGCCGAGGCAGGTGGATCACCTTAGGTCAAGAGTTCAAGATCAGCCTGGCCAACATGGTAAAACCCCGTTTCTACTAAATATACAAAATTTAGCCGGGTGTGGTGGCGTGAGCCTATAATCCCAGCTACTCAGGAGGCTGAGGCAAGAGAACTGCTTGAAACCAGGAGGTGGTGGTTGCAGTGAGCTGAGATTGCCCCACTGCACTACAGCCTGGGCAACAGAGCCAGACTCTTTCTTAAAACAAAACAAAACAACAACAATAAAAACTGGGTTGCAAGCTGGGCGTGGTGGCTCACGCCTGTAATCCCAGCACTTTGGGAGGCCAAGGTGGGCAGATCATGAGCTCAGGAGTTTGAGACCAGCCTGGCCAACATGGTGAAACTCCGTCTCTCATAAAAATACAAAAATTAGCCAGGAGTGGTGGTAGGCGCCTGTAATCCCAGCTACTGCGGAGGCTGAGGCAGGAGAATCCCTTGAACCCAGGAGGCAGAGGTTGCAGTGAGCCAAGATCATGGCACTGCATTCCAGCCTCGGATTCCGTCTCAAAAAAAAAAAAAAAAACTGGATTGTAGTCCAAAAAGCTGGAAATAAATGACATCCTTATATCACACTCATCATATTTCATCAAAAAATCCTTAAAACCTCGCTTAAAATGTAAAAGAAGTCATGAAACCTTATAATACTGTAGTACTTCTATGCATGTATGTTAAAGAACAGCAGCCACAAGTGATTTTACTCTATGTAGTTAAATACCCTCATTTCATAAAATGATATAATACTTTTTCTAGCAAGTGCTAATAAAGCAGCAAGACCTATTTCTGGCTTGAAAAATCGCCTGCTGAATGACAACTTCTGAGACATGAAAATATTGAGGATTGTTCAGGACTGAATATGTCCCCCAAAATCTCTATGTTGAAGCCCTAACCCCAATGTAATGGTGTCTGGAGGTAGGGTCTTTAGGAGGTAATTAGGTTTAGGCAAGGTCATGAGGGTGGGGCCCCCATGATGAAGTTAATGGAGACAGACTCAAACTCTCTCTCCACCACGTGGGGACACAGTGAGAAGGCGGCTCTCTGCAAGCCAGGAAGTGAACACTCAATGGGAACTGAATCTGCAGGCGCCTTGATCTTGGACTTCCAGCCTCCAGAACGGTGGGAAATAAATGTCTACAGTTTAAGCATCCAGCCTATGATATTTTGTTACAGCAGTCTGAGCTAAGACAAGGATTTAACAATAGGCACCTAGCTCATCAAAAGAGTTTACACAAAGGCCTTAAAATATCACCTAAGTTTAATTCTTTACTGGATTATTATTAAATTCTTTTGTGCTGAAAACATCCTAAGTGAAAGAAGCCGGTCACAAAGGACCACATACAGGGTGTGTTTTGGTTAATATCCCTTAACTAAAATGCTGGGGACCCAGAAGCATTTCAGACGTTGGATTCATTCAGATTTTTAAATATTTACGTTATATTTACCTGTTTAGCATCCTTCCTAATTTGGAAATCCGAAATCCAAAATCCAAAATGCTCCAATGAGCATGTATTTCCTTTGCATGCCACAGTGGAGCTCAGAAAGTTTCAGATTTGAAGCATTTTAGATTATCGGATTAAGGATGCTCAACCTGTACTGCATGACTCCACTCATATGAAATGTCCAGAATAGCCAAATCCACAGAGACAGAAAGTAGGTTTGTGGCTGCCAGGCTCTGGAGGGCATGGAGGTTGTGGGGTGATGGCTAAGAGGTATGGGCCTTCTTTTTGGGTGATAAAAATGTCTAAAATTAATTGTGGTGGTGGACGTAACTGATAAGTCTGTGAAGGTACTGAAGCCACTGAATTGTATCCTTGAAATGGATGAATTGTATGCTGTGTGAATTACATCCCTTTTTTTGTTTTTTTTAAGACAGTCTCACTCTGCCGCCCAGGCTTGAGTGCAGTGGTGCAATCTTGGCTCACTGTAGCCTCTGCCTTCTGGGTTCAAGCGATTCTTCTGTCTGGCGGCTGGGACTACAGGTACGCGCCACCACACCCAGCTAATTTTTGTATTTTTAGTGGAGATGGGGTTTCACCATATTGGCCAGGCTGGTCTTGAACTCCTGACCTTGTGATCTGCCTGCCTCGGCTTCCCAAAGTGCTGGGATTACAGGTGTGAGCCACCACACTCGGACTATCCCAAGTCATTTTAAAAATTATTTTGTACTGAATATATCTCGTGCCTACTATTAAATAAGAATCTACTAATTTGTTTCCACTTCCTAAGGTTTCCAACCCACGCGAACGAAAGACAGAAAGATGAGAATGTTTTAACACAACCACTGCCAGACCCAGGAGTTACCTGTAGTTCTTGGTACAGTCTTTTTAGCTCCACCGCTGCTGGTCCTGTCAATTTGCCATTATAAGACTGGAACCCATTCAGTTTTCCTTTCTTTAAATCTTCCAACTGCTGACTAAGCTGATCAACCCTTAAAATTGCAGTCTGTACTTCCTGCTTCTTTTCCTGGAACATGGCACTGAACCTTTCTATTTCAGCAGCTATAATTGCCCACACACAAAAAAAGAATAAAACATTTAGTTGATCTTTTTTTCTCATTTCTTACACAGAACTTAATTCTAGTATCATCTAGTGCCAGACCTTGGAGACAGTTGTGATATGCAGAATCCAAAACACATTTCAAAAAGCCTTTGGGACACATGTATCTGATTACTCATAAAGCAAATAATTATATTTGCATTAATTCCTATTCTTTAGGGTAATCAGTCCATAAGCTAGTTTGTTCAAGTGACTTAGAAATCTCTGAGACCAAAGGTTTTGTGAAGGCAGGGCCATCCAAGCCTGTCTCATGCATCACTGTGACTTACAAGTAGGCATAGACTGAACCAGTGAATAAAATAAGAGTTCATACAGAAAAAAAGTGAGCAAAATCAGCATAACTTATCTTAATGCACGGATACAAGTTAAGTTATTCAAGAAAAACAGACCCTCTGAATGAGTAAGACTTGGAGTGCCCCACCCTAATCCAAAGGGCCACTGGTACCAATGTAACGAGAGGATCTTTCTACTGCATCTAAGGGTCGCAAGGTATCTTTATTTTTTTGAGACAGGGTCTCACTGTCATTCAGGCTGGGGAGCACTGGCCTGATCATGGCTTACTGCAGCCTTGACCTCCCAGGTTCAAGCAATCCTCCCACCTCAGCCTCTCAAGTAGCTGGGACTACACAATTCTAAGATCACTTAACGTAACCAACCCATCCTTTTAGATGCAAATAACAGAGCAAAACTTTAGCACACTTCCTATTTAGTCCTGTGAATTTGTGACTGAATTGTCAGGCAGTTAGACTGTGTTTCACTGGATCTGGGCCTGGTGAGAGTGGTGTCAGGGGGTGTTGCAGGCACGTACACAGATTGCCGTTCATGATTTTGCTGTAGTCGACTTGTCCTCTCATGGCACGAATTTTCTTCAGCTTGTTCTCCTGGGCTTCAACTCGTTCTTTCAATTTCTGAAGCTTTTCATTTTCAGAAATAGACTGCTGCTGACGGCGCTCCTGTTGCTTTAGAAAATGTAAACGCTGTTCCTAAAAAAGAAAGAAAAATGTAACTTTGGAAATTGAAGGCCGGGCACAGTGGCTCACACCTGTAATCCCAGCACTTTGAGAGGCTGAGGTGGGTGGATCACCTGAGGTCAGGAGTTCGAGACCAGCCTGGCCAACATGGTGAAACCCTGTCTCTACTAAAAATGCAAAAAGTAACTGGGCGTTGTGGTAGGCGCCTATAGTCCCAGCTACTTAGGAGGCTGAGGCAGGAGAATCACTTGAAACCGGGAGATGGAGATTGCAGTGAGCTGAGATCGTGCCACTGCACTCCAGCCTGGGTGCCAGCGTGAAACTGTCTCAAAAAAAAAAAGAAAAAAGAAAACTGAAACTTATGATTACTTTTATATACTCAAAAAGAAAAATGTGACAGTATTCTACAGTACCACTCATCTTAATGAATACTAAAACACTAGAGGAATCTTAGACCATACAAAACTGAAATTATTGGGCATACCTAAGTATGAAATAGTAAGAGCTGGGGGGTTTTTAAGAGAGAGGGTTTTTTCTTTTTTTTTGAGACGTAGTCTCGCTCTGTCGCCCAGGCTGGAGTGCAGTGGCACGATCTCGGCTCACTGTAAGCTCCACCTCCCAGGTTCACATCATTCTCCCGCCTCAGCCCCCTAAGTAGATGGGACTACAGGCGTCCACCACCATACCCAACTAATTTTTCTGTATTTTTTCAGTAGAGATGGGGTTTCACCGTGTCAGCCAGGATGGTCTCGATCTCCTGACCTTGTGATCCGCCCGCCTCGGCCTCCCAAAGTGCTGGGATTACAGGCGTGAGCCACCGCGCCCGGTGAGAGAGGGTTTTCTTATGCACACAGATCTACACCAGTTAATATAAGCGCTTCTGCAGAAAACCTCCCAGCAGCAGAACATGCACTAACACAATCTCCTCTTCACTCTATCACATCTGTGAAGTCCCAGTGAGCCTTACTTTCCTGCTGCAAGTAATACATTTCATGCTGCTACAAAGTGGCTTACAAGAATCTAATTCATTTCCTAAAGGACATGAACACTGACCAACAGAGGATTTTACACTGAAAAGAGATAAGATGATCAGTAAGGAGATAAATCTTCAATTTGTTATGATACTGAACAATCAAGGAACTGTCTGCTTTCTCCAGGATTAGTTTCTTCAATAATAAAACATTTTAGAGTCAAACAATACCAGAACAATCTAAAAATAACAATATATGCAATACTCTTCAATAGGGTTTTCCCTATTAATGTGAAAACATACCTTAAAGATAAGAGTCAACATTAAATATTCATGATCCCATATTTATGCATAAAATATACCTAAATAAGGAGAGATTTGAGGTGTGATTATGAAGGCACTACATACTACACTCTAAGGTAAAGCAATATGTGCTTAAATATTTAAGATGCAGTATTAACTTGTGATTTACATTGCTGAAAATATCTACAACTATTTTTAACAGCAATACTCTTGGATCAGTATTTGGAAAAAAATAAAAAGCAGAATTAGAAAATTTTTACAATGACGTAATACTATATATATTTTATCTCAGAACTCTTATTAATGGGACACTTTCCAATTGAACTTTTAATCATGTTTATTCTCACAAATCCAATAAACGTTGAGACAACTTTTTAAAACAAGTCCAACCCAAATTATTATTTACATAAAAGTGGATAGTACAATAAAGTATACAGTCACTCAATACATTTTTTAAAAATTCAGATTGAACATTTTAGTCATAAAGAAAATCTACAGAAGAAAGCAATTAAGAACCTAGTTGGTAATGTTTAAAAACATTATCTTTAAAGCAGTTTGGAATTTTTTTTTTTTTTTTTTTTTTCATTTTGAGACAGAGTCTCGCTCTGTCGCCCAGTCTGCAGTATAATGGCGTGATCTCAGCTCACTGCAACCTCCACCTCCTGGCTTCAAGTGATTCTCCTGCTCAGCCTGAGTGGCTGGGATTATAGGCGTGAGCCACTACGTCTGCCTAATTTTTGTATTTTTAGTAGAGTCAGGGTTTCGCCATGTTGGTCAGGCTGATCTCGAACTCCTGACCTCAGATGATCCACCTGCCTCGGCCTCCCAAAGTACTGGGATTACAGGCGTGAGCCACCACGCCCGGCCAGTTTTGGAACATTTTAAGATCATTTACAACATGGATCATTTCCAGCAGGCATGTGTGATAGATGTGATGTTTCAATTACGTATGACTAAACCATTATTTAGAAAAATTCCAGTTTCGATAACCAGTGTAGAACTCAGTATATGTAATGAACATTATCTATGCCCCACACTGTAATAAAGCAAACAAGTCCAACCTAGAGTAGGCACACTGGAAAGACCCGTTAACCACCTGTCATTGTCTTGATGGCCCTGATCAGTGTTTTCATCACGGATTGTTGCTTTCTTCTTGAACACTAATACCAATGACATAGCCAAGAGCATACCCAGAGGCAAAAGGAGAAAACGAAAGCACCCTTTCTTCCCGATTTTTTTTGTTTGTTTGTTTGAGATGGAGTCTTGCTCTGTCGCCCAGGCTGGAGTGCAGCAGCGCAATCTCCACTCACTGTAAGCTCCGCCTCCCGGGTTCACGGCATTCTCCTGCCTCAGCCTCCAGAGTAGGTGGGACTACAGGGGCCCACCACCCCGCCCGGCTAATTTTTTTAAATATATTTTTAGTAGAAACGGGGTTTCACCGTGTTAGCCAGGATGGTCTCGAACTCCTGACCTCGTGAGCCGCCCGTCTCGGCCTCCCAAAGTGCTGGGATTACAGGCTTGAGCCACCGCGCCCGGCCTTTTTTTTTTTTTAATACAGGGTCTCACTTACTCTTGTCACCCAGGCTAGAGTGCAGTGGCATGATCTTGGCTCACAGTAACTAGCTCCTGGACTCAAGTGATCAACCACAGCCACATGACACCATGCCTGGCTAATTTTTTTTATTTTTTGTAGAGACAGGGTCTCCCTATATTTCCCAGGCTGGTCCTGAACTCCAGGGCTCAAGCAATCCTCCTGTCTGCTGGGATTACAGGCAGGAGCCACTGTGCCTGGCCCATTTTCAAATTTTATCTATGGGCCAGGCGCGGTGGCTCAAGCCTGCAATCCCAGCACTTTGGGAGGCCGAGACGGGCGGATCACGAGGTCAGGAGATCGAGACCATCCTGG